ATTCTTATTTAATAGGGCAAAAGAGAAACTCCCCAACTCATGTATGAAATTAGAATGTTTGCTAGTTTCCGAGCAATTCAGTGCTAAAGCCGTGAATCTAACACAGCGAGGTGTGTGTGTGTGCGTGTGTGTGTGTGTGTGTGTGTGTGTGTGTGTGTGTAGGGTGTTCCTGTTCAAGATTAGCAAGGAGGCTAATGTGGCTAGAGCTGAGTGCATGAGGGAAAATGAGGACAATGAGTAGAAATGATAGTTCCTCTAGACCTTGCAGAGGACTTTGGCTTTATTCTGCGTGAGATGGGAAGCCATCGGAGGTTTTCAGCTGAGGGGTCACATAATCATACTTAAATTTTAAACAGAATATTCTGGTTTATTTGGGAGAAGTGCATGGACAAGCAAGAGTAGAAGCAGAGAAGCCCATGTGAAGATTATTGAAATAAGCTAGGTGAGGGATAATTATAATTTGTACCAAGGTGGCTGTGGTAGGCAGAATAATGGCTCCAAAAGGTGTCTATGTTCTAATTTCTGGATTTTTGAGTCTAGAGTTCAGGGGAAAAGTTGAGTGGGAGATAGCAGTTTATCTATGGCATTTAAGGCTACGCAAGAGAACTAGATCATCTAGGGAGTGACTGTAGATGGACAAGTCTGGGGATGAGCTCTGGGCACTCCAATGGTGATAACTTTCTGTTAAGAAAAATTGGTGGATATGTGAAATGCTTATTAGCAAGTATCATTTTCATCTAAAGCGGGTACAGGTTATAGAAATTGTCCTTCAAGTCAGATTAACTCAATGAAATATGTAATTGCTATTTGAAAGAGGGCATGGAATGGCATTTGAAAACTGACAGGGACATTAGAGATCATTTAGTTCAACCATCTAATGAAAGCTAAAGAACCCCACACGAGTGCAGGTTTGGGCTCTGCTTTCAGTCCTCCTGTGTAAAAAAAGGGGATGAGATTCTTTCTCGTCTTAAGATGTCTAAAAATTCACTGAATATAATGAGTGGCCTCTTATACATATGTTCTTTCTACTTTTAGACACTTGTCTTGATTTGGATCATTTTATGGAATCTCAGACAAAAATCAAAAGTCAAGGAAAAATTTTCAAAATGTTTCCTAGAAATCAAATCCAAAACAACTTCATAAGTGAAGATAGCATATAGGTTAATCCTAGAAAATCCAAGTACATAAATACAGATTTCTCTGTGAGAAAACAATTCATGTACAGAAAACAAACAGGGAAATAATTATTGTGCACAATAAAGATAATATATCAAAAGCAATAATAACTAGTATAATTAACAATGGTAATTTCGCAGAGTATTTATTTTGTTTGTTATCAAACCTAGGAGATGAAGAATGGAGAGTAGATGACAGTGTGCATTTGGGGAATTTCCCCAAATTACTGTGATGATCTCATCTGAGAAAAGAAAATGTGAGAGTTAGGTTCAATATGTTTTGCTTTTTCTTATACCGTTTTGAGTAAATGAATTAGAAAAAAACTTCGTTATGATCAACATGATCTGGCCACAAAAACATTTGATTCCTGGTATTAGCCTAAACAAGGCCCGATATAATAATTAGATCCCCGATTTTCAAAGACAGTCTTGGAAGAACATATGCCAATGACGTAGAGCCCTAGCTTGTGATGTATAGGGAAGGCAGAGTAGTGTGGGCAGGTCTGGTTTTGATAGAGGGGGCAGGGTACCCAAGCATGGAGGTATACTGACTAGAGCCTCTGACTTCCTGATAGAACAAGCATCTGCTTGTGGA